TAGCCGGCTCGTGACTTCACAAACAACAACAAAAAGAGCTCAAGCTTGAATTCGAGTTCGAGTTTTTTTTGAATCCGATTTAAAAAAAAATCAATTTTTAAATTTCCGAGAATACAATTGGATCACAATAGTAATTTGATACATTATTTTTAGAATTTTCGGATTCCGATAAAAAAATAATTCCAAAATTCTCCGATACTTTTTTTTTATAATTAAAATTATTATACACATGCACACACAAACACACTAAAACTGTAGGCCCCTTCTCTGGGCTGGGCTGGGCTGGGCTGGGCTGGACTGTAGAGTTATTGGTTTTAAAAAATTGAAATTCGGGCCCATGTAACAACGACCCATTGCATTGTATAAGCTCAACTGAAACCCCTCTCAAAACTCAAACCTAATCTCATTTTTTTACTTTCTTTTTTTAATTTGAGCAAACACAATTTTCAAGTGAACGCAAATAATTATCTTCTTCTTCGGTCAAAGCTTATTCTTCATGTGGGCCCGTAGTGAGTCTTCGCGACCGATATCCCATGCACCACGCAAATAATATTTGTGTTTCATATTATATGTCAGTTTACATTTTTCAATACTGCATTAAATACATTTTTCCATGTTTTAAGCTTATTAATTCAACTGCAAATATTAACTATTTTTTTTATAAATCATTAAATGTTAAAGGTTATTTTAGTCTTTTTATTCATTTTTTCCTAAATTCATACCATATTTATTATTTTCTTAATACCTGTGCAAACATAAAAGAAAAAGGACATACATTTAAGAACGGAAGGAGTATCATTTTTATCACTTCATTTCAGCTTCAACGATATTTTCAATCCATCGATACATACGAGATCGACGGATCATATATGATCTCCATCGTCAAAATTTCATTGTTATTTTTTCCCCTATTTTTTCATTACGTTAACATAAACTTAAAAATTCCAATACATGTTAACTCCAAACAAATAAGAAAAAAAGTGAAGTCTATGATGAAATAGAAAATGGTGTGTCAAAATCACACACAAACAAACAAGCAAATCAGAAATTACAACTTATGAGATATTTTTATAATATAAAATTATATTTTAAATTTTATTATTTAGACAATAAAATAAAAACAATATATATTTATATACAATAAAACAAAATAGAAGTACTACCCAGGATTTGGTCTACAAAGAGTCCCAGTATGAAAGAGAAAATAAGAAGCCTTTTCATCGACAGCAACAGTGGGCCGCATGCACAAACAAACGATGAAGGGCCCATCTAAGAAAGAAATTATCGCATACAGTGGAGACCACCGTTCTTAACATACAACCTATCACCTTTACCCTCCAATAATCTACATGTAAAAGAAAGCTACTTGATCAAATAAACAATGAAAAGACAAGTGTAGGGCCATTAATTAAAAACGGAAACGAATATCATGATGGCTTTTGTCGATTTCCTTTTTCTATTTATTTTTTGAAAATTGAAAAAAAAATATGATATAATATTAAATATGTTTATACAAATTCCAAAGGTAAGCGTGCACACAACAAATGTGTAAAAGTCACCAGCATATGGACAATTAGACATCACCTCTGACTTTGTGTCTCTTCATATTTATTACTCCCTCTGTCCCATATTATATGTCTTTTTAGAGAGTTTTTCTTGTCCCAAATTATTTGTCATTTTAGATTTTCAATACATCATTAATTGCATTATTTTCAATTTTACCCTTTATAACTCCTAATTAGTTAGTTGTAAAATAATTAATGTCAAGGATATATTAGTATTTTCCTATGCTTTTTACTATAATCTATACACATTAATTGATTTTCTTAATATGTGTGAAACAACCCAAAACGTCATTTAAATTGGGACGGAGGGAGTACTATTTACTACCCTTTAACAATTATATCTCTAAAATAATTTTATATAAATTCACTTTGGTTCTTAGGTTTTATGTTTTAGGGTAAACTAGTGCAACCAATAATGTAAGGTCAAAATACGAAAAAAAAACATATCATGTTTGAGGAATTACAACAGTCCATCAACCTTAAATCTTTTTACACGTTCACATTTGCGGTGTCAAATTTAGCATAATTATTTTCTTCATTATGTGAAATATTCTCCAGTTTGTACCCGTTTTATCCAATTTGAGTTCCACATTTTGAAACTAAATGATCATAAAATGTGTCTCTTCGCTTGTAAATATCAGATTGTGATGCATCAAAAACTGCATTTATATACAAAATATTAATAAAATAAATAAAGAATCATAAATTTTCAATTTAAATCGTGTTGTAGCCAACATACAAAAGATTTAGGGAAATATTCAGTTTAGACCCTTGAACTATAAAATATGTCGCATTCCACTTTCTAAACTAAAAACTTATCAAAATGAACTAAAAAACGTAACAAAATGTAAAGCTTGTTTGTATAATTTGTGAAGGCATTTAAGATAATTAACAAAAAGTAACTAAAAACTAAAGCTTGTTAGCAAAATTATGGTTCCCCAATTTTAAAATAAAGGTCATTCTTATTGGTACCCATATAAGAAAATTAAAAAATATGCATTGATATTAGGGAACAAGATAGAATTAATTGCAATACGCCTCCCATCGATTTTATTGTCACTAATTATCTTTCACTCGAGGTGCACTAAGTAAACTCTCCTTGTGCAATAATTCGCAAAATGCTCAAAATCTTTAAATCACACATGGTTAACCATGTGTGACGATTTAAACGTAGAAAATTTTGGGCAAAATTCTAATATTTTCATTAGTTCTCATTAGATAATTAGGAGTGATAAGAAAATTGAAGAAAATGATAATTAATGTATTGTTGGAATTCTTAAGTACAAATAATATGACACAAAGAATTTTTATGAATGCTACAAATATGTAGTACGGAAACTTTAACTTAATGTATTTGTGTTTCCGGCACGTTCGAGTCCTACACTCGAGAACACCTTAAGGACACCTTATATGCCATTTTGCAATTTCTGAAAAAATTGGAATATATTTGAATAGCAAATTTTTAAATATTTTTGTTGTTTCTCTAATTATTTACATGATTTAATGATTAATTGTAAATTAATAGTTGATAATAACATTTTTTTTAATATACTTGTGTGAAAATATATAAAAAGAATTTATATATAAATAAAAACTTATATATGCTTATATAGCATATTTATTAATATATTCATGTACTTTTAATATTTACACATTTTTCCAAGTTCCTGTATTCTCATTTTTGAAACATGTCATTTCTCCGAGTTTGTTTCCCCATTTTCCGGTATCGTTGTTTTCGTGTCCGTACTACATAGTGCAACAGTTAAACTAGCACAAAAGAGCAGAGGAGTAAAATATCTAAATCGTTGGTCCATTTTCAAAGATGAGTAATAGATTATCTCAAACTTCACTCACAATTACAACTTTCTATTTTTTTTTTTATTTTTTTTTTGCAATCTTGAACAAAGTATATATAATCCCGTAAGACACAAAATTTTCTGTTTTGACATCTTTTAGCCCAAAAATAGATATTCTTTTTGAAAAGAGTCTGCCGCCTGAAAATGAAAAAAGAATGATGGTTCTGGAAAATGTTTTTAACTTTTAATATAGGTTAAATTACAATCACTTGTGAGGTATGGTCAAGTTACGAAAAAGTTTCTTATGTTTGGTTAATTACAATGACACCTCTCAACTATTAATCTTCTTACACGTTAATCCTTATGGTGTCAAATTCAATATAATCTTTTGGATTTCGTGGAATGTTCTCGAATCTGTAGTTCTGTACTCATTTTATGTAAAAATACAGTTTATAATGCACCACAATATGATATATATATATATATATATATATATATAAGTGAAAAAACACATCTTATGATCATTTTGTTTCAAAATGTGGAGTTCGAGTGAGATACAACGGGTACTAAATTGAAAATATTCCATATAATCTAGAAGATTTCACTAAATTTGACACAACAAAGATAGACATGTAAAATGATTTATAGTTATAAGTAATTATATAATTACGTAAATTTTTTTTCCGTAATTTGACGATAACTTAAAGGTAGTTGTAATTAACCTTTAATATAATGTGGGAAACACATAAAGAGAATTAGAGAGACAAGCCAGAGTAGTAGTGCTTACAAACATCATTAACAACTGCATGCATCATTAAAGATTAAAAAAGAAACATATTATTTATCAAACACCACTCACCTTTTTTTGTTCAAACATTAAACTAATTGTAGCCCCAATTCAAATCTAATCGAATATCGTACTGATTTTGATACACACTGTCAACAAACACACACACACACAGTCACTAGTCTCTCTGCTTTTTTCCCCCAAAAAGAAAAGAAAATAAAAAGGAGAAACTCAAACAAGAAACCCTCTCTCCCAATTTTCTTGTTAGCCCCTCCCATGGCGGCGGCTGCAGCTCCTCCTCCTCCTCTGCTTCTCCCACTCTGCATTTTCCTGCTTCTCTCTCTACAAACCCACTCCACCACAGACGTAGAGCTACTCATATCAAAGATCAAGCCTTCACTGCAAGGAACCGCAGAGAACCTCCTCCTATCCACCTGGAACTCCTCTGTACCACTCTGCCAATGGCGGGGCCTCAAGTGGTCCTTCATCAACGGCTCCTCTCTAACGTGCGCCGACCTCTCTTCCCCACAACGGTCCAGCATTTTCCTCCACAAAGACCCCCTCTTGCAGCTCGTTTCGCTCCAGCTCCCCTCCGCCAATCTCACCGGAACCCTACCCAAAGAAATCGGACAGCTAGCCAATCTCCGGAGCCTCTACCTCGCCGTGAACTCACTCTCCGGCGGGGTTCCGTTAGAGCTCGGCTACAGCTCTTCCTTGTCGGAGATTGATTTGAGCCACAATTTGCTCAATGGGTCTCTGCCACCTTCCATTTGGAACCTCTGCGACCGCCTCCTTTCCCTCCGCCTCCACGGCAACTCTCTCTCCGGCGCTTTGCCGGAACCTCTTCTGCCCAACTCCACCTGCCACAGTTTGCAGTTTCTTGATTTAGGGCAGAACGCCTTCGCCGGAATATTCCCCGATTTCATAACCGGCTTCAACGGCCTCAAACAGCTCGATCTCGGCGGGAACATGCTCTCCGGCCAAATCCCGGATTCCATCACCGGTTTAAAATTGGAAAAATTGAATCTTTCCCACAATAACTTCACCGGGGTTCTTCCCGATTTCGGCGAGTCCAAGTTCGGCGTCGACGCATTCGAAGGAAACAACCCCACCCTTTGTGGGGGCCCTCTCGGATCCTGCAGCCGGAGCTCCGGGTTGAGCTCCGGCGCCATCGCCGGGCTTGTGATCGGTCTGATGACCGGAACCGTCGTGTTGGTTTCGCTGCTGATCGGTTACTTCCAAGGCAAGAGAAAGAAGAATGCCGACGAAGAAGACGACGAATTCGACGAAATGGACGATGACGAAGAAATGGGGAATAATAATGGTGATGGGAAATTGGTTTTGTTTCAAGGTGGGGAGCATTTATCAACGGAGGATGTATTGAATGCGACGGGGCAAGTTATGGAGAAGACGAGTTACGGGACGGTGTACAAGGCGAAGCTTTCGGACGGAGGAACGATCGCTTTGAGGTTGCTTAGGGAAGGGAGTTGCAAAGATAAGAGTTCTTGTTTGCCGGTGATTAAGCAGTTGGGAAGGATCCGACACGAGAATTTGATCCCGTTGAGGGCTTATTATCAAGGGAAACGAGGCGAGAAACTTCTCATTTACGACTACCTACCGAACAAGACTCTACATGATCTCTTACATGGTAAAAAGTTTTTATATGTGTTTTGTCAATATCTTGATCTCTTATAGTGATCTCGTGAATCGTTAACAAAACAATTAGTGCTCGTTCGGTTACATATATCGGGTTGATTTGGATTAGATGAGATTCGATTGATTAATTCCCTACTGACTAATTTAATTATGTAGTTAATGAGATGTGCGGGAAGGGAGTTTAATCGGTTAAATTTTGGCATTGTATGTGATTTGTCTATAAAAAACCTTTTATTTAACAAAATAAACCTATAGTTTTAAGGATAAAATAGTACTTTCCTGGTTTAGTCACCCGCTACACAATTAGGTTTGAGTAAGTACGAATCTTGTCGATCGAACGTCTCACTAGCCCCCTCTAGTTAGTCAATAGGATCTAATTATAGTGGTAACCGAACGAGCCCTTTTAGAATTTGGATTGGTATGAAGTCAAATTCTTTAGTGGGGATCGAAGCAAGTAAATATTTAATTTCTACTCCGATTGAACTTGAACCTTGTTTATCATTTCTTGGATCAATCTTGAACCTCGTTGATCAAATGTAACGGATTGTTAAAATTTACACCTCGGCAGAATCTCGAGTCGGAAAACCGGTGCTGAATTGGGCAAGAAGGCACAAGATAGCGCTAGGAATCGCGCGAGGGCTGGCCCACCTCCACAATCAAGAACCGCCAATCACCCACGGGAACATACGCTCCAAGACGGTCCTAGTGGACGACTTCTTCGTGGCGAGGCTGAACGAGTTCGGCCTCGACAGAATCATGGTGCCCGCGATCGCCGACGAAATAATCTCCGTCGCTAAATCCGACGGCTACAAGGCGCCCGAGATTCAAAAGATGAAGAAGTGCAACTCGAGGAGCGACGTGTACGCGTTCGGGATAGTCTTGCTGGAGATTCTGTTGGGCAGGAGGCCTGGGAAAACAAACGGGGGCAGAAACGTGGGGTTCGTGGACTTGCCCTCGATTGTGAAGGTGGCGGTTCTGGAGGAAACGACGATGGAGGTTTTTGACGTGGAGGTGGTGAGAGGTATGAGGAGTCCGATGGAGGAAGGTTTGGTGCAGGCGTTGAAGCTGGCTATGGGGTGCTGTGCTCCGGTGGGGTCCGTTAGGCCGACTATGGAGGAGGTTGTTCGGCAGTTGGAGGAGAATAGGCCGAGGAATCGGTCGGCTTTGTATAGTCCGGCTGAGACTAGAAGTGGAAGTGTTACTCCTTTCTGATCTACTTTTTTTTTTTTTTTTTTCTTTTTAGTAATTATATTGTGATTTTTTCGAATTTTCGAGTAAGATCGTTTTTTGCGTTTTAATGTTTAATTGTCGTAAGTTTGTTGTGTTTGGTTTTCTGTTGGTCGTTAGTTCTTGCGTTTTCCCGTCACTGGTGAAAAATAAGCTTCCACCAGTTCTTTATTCCTTGATCAGGTGAATTATATTTGAAGCCCTGCATCTGAAATGGGTGGCGGTCGGATTCGAATTCAGTACCTTTCATTTGTTACAGGTTCTGATACCATATTGAACAACCACATGAACTTAAAATTTAAGCTATTAATGAAATGTATCATTTAATATTAATTTTCAATAAGATGAAAGATGAATTATTGGTGCAATTCCTTGATGATTGATAATCATAGTGTCCCTATTCTTGTGGGCACAGAATCTGTCATCCCAAGAAATGAATTGATAATCATAGTGTCCTTATTCTTGATGCAGATGATCTGTGTGCTCCCAAATGAATTGAACATAATGTATATACTAATATTTATACTAATAGCATGAATTGATAAAATAAATTACTATTTACTATGCAAATTGTAATAGAAGAATGTTAAAAAAAAAAAAGTAATAAATAAATTAAAAAAAATGAAAAAAAAAAGTATGTTCATGCACATGAGACTAGTGAGGAAAGGTACGAGCCTGCAAAGCCTTTATTCATATGTCTGCCCATCATTTCATCTCCACCACTTCTTGCCAGAACACTGTATTGTGTTTTGTTCGATGATCGATCGATCATCTCACGTGGCTCACATGCTCTTAATTTACCTCACTAGAAATCCAAAAAAGAAAAAAAAGAAAAAAATAGGGAAAAGAAAAGAAATAGCATAGAATAATACATTATTAATACAATGAAAATTGGATTGTATTCGACTTGATCATCGATTTACAAAACTATCGATCATAATACATAATAATATGGACCATAATTACACTAGTACATTGAGAATTACACCAAATTCTTGAAGCTCAAATATTTCCTCTCTCCTCAGCTTGCAAAAACTACCCTCAAGACTACAAACAGAGATGCAACGGCGAAATCGTAGGAGGAGAGAAAGAGAAATGTACACTTGTCATAATATTATAAATCATAGGAGGAAATTAAGGCAGCCACGAAATTGACGGTTTACGACACTGAAAGAGGATTTTGCTGACCATAATTGCCATAAGAATTTTTTAACTTGGAAGGATATATATATGTAAAGATTTTTTTAGGAGCTTTTTTCTTCTTTTTTTTTTTTGGTTTATGTTTGTTTAATTTTAAAAATATGAGATGATGAGCCTCCCGCCCCACACTAGCACTGTGCGCCTCTGCGGCAGCCAAGTGCACCCGCCCCAGAGGTGAGAGTTCCTACCATTGAAGATGATTTAGCTGCTAGACTTGAGGCACGTGCGTAGTTTGCTGCGGCCCCACGTCCCGACGGGATGAAAAATGCTCCGTTTAGCATAAGATCACCTTCTGATCTCCAGTTCCAGTGCCTCCATATACCTTTGCCTACTACTCTGTGTGTTACCTGTTTATTTTTATTTTATTGTTTTTTATCAGTAAAAAATAAACATACATTGATCGAAAATTAAGCATACAAAAACATTCCCTTCCCAATTGACAAAACGATCCCAATTGGCTAAGTTGCGGGCGGCAAAAATTTGAATCTCTAGAGGAAAATCTAAATTCCAATTTCGCCCACAAACAACAGAATTTGCGAATTTCCTCAACAAGAAGACATAATGAACAAAATTAACTCGCACTATATATATCTTCAATCCCAACTATGTCAATATTTTTTAATTATTTTCAATTGTCGAAAAACTCGCTTACTATTTTTATCTACATAAATCATTGTGATCGAAATTCAAAGCCCGACAAACCCTTTGGAGCTCACCGTTTGGAGGACGGTGAGCTATAAAAATAATAGATTTTTGAAAGAGATATTGCAATTGAATCAAATAATTTGGTGAGATAGAAGAAATAACCTGTTTAGCAAAAGGGTTATACGGGGCTAGATATCTGTTGCCTTGGCTGTTAATGGTGGGATTGGCACTGCCACCTATAGCATACATTTCCCAGTGTGTGTAGTCATTGTTCACCACATGGAAATACCCATGCCTGCACCTGTAATATTCATATTTCAACCAGCATTTAGCACTTACAATTTGTACTTAATAAATAAACTGAAATACTAAATGTTTTTTTTTTCAATTTTACTAATATACTGTTTTGACTTCAAACCTGATTTTGACCTTTTTCGAGTATGATTTTGACAAAATTCAAAACACGGAACGTGCAGTCGTTTGAGTTAGCTTTCTAATTCAACTTGATTCGATATCGGGTGTAAAAATTACGCATGAATGAGTTACATTTTGAATTTTAGATAACTCCAAGCATCAAATTTGTAGATAATGTATGTTCATTCATGCATATCTTTCTCACCCGACATTTGATATTGCCGATTCAAGTTGGATTAGAAATCTAACTCAACGGACTACAAATGTTTTGAGTTTTGCCAAATTCTGACTAAAAAATGGTCGAAATGACGTTTGAAGTCGAAATTTGAATAGTAAAATTAAAACCAACATTTTTCAAATAAAACATCATTGAGTATTTACCTTGGCATTCTCTGGATCAGGCCCTCTCCAAAATGGTTGTACGCAATGGTGACCTGCATAGCCCGGTCTCTCGTGTACGAATCGCTGTGCCCCAATAATATAACCTGTTGATCAAAACACGGCCGAATTATTTATCAAATTAATTGGAAAAATGGTAAATTACGAAAAAAAAAAAAAAACCCTCTGAACTTAGACTAAGTAACGAAAAATACCCCACCTATCCGCAATAACCAAAATCCCACTCTGATTAACTGTTGATCGAGTTTTTTAACATAAAATGTATACAGTAAATAGGTGAGAAATAAAAGAAAAAATCTGAAATTGTGTAAAGTCTATTCCCTGGAATAAAAAAAAAAATCCGTGAAAAGTCACACTATAACGGGTGGTGTAAGACGGAAACAACATCAGAGGATTTTTGATAATTATGAATAGGTAGGGGTGTTTTCGTTATTTATCCTAAGTTCAGGGGTTTTTACGTAATTTACACTTGAAAAAATACCAAAATTTAAGAACAAAAATTGAATAGGGGAAAGAAAAATAACCTCATTGTGGTGGGTGAAGAAATTGTTGGAAATGGTGATGGCGGTGGATCCCATGATGGCATCAATGAGGCCATCGGCGCAGCTGGACAAGGAATTGTGGTCGATCCAAATGTGGCTGGCGCCGAAGATGGAGATCCCGTCGCCGTCGGCCATTGTCCTCCACCCGTAGTGCGATGGGGAGGCCCGCACCATAGCGTTCCCCGTGCGCCTGCAGTCGTGGATGTGTAGTCCGTGGATGATGATGTTGGTGACGTACTGGATTGTGATGCACGCGCCGCCGGCGATGTGGACGTTGGCGCCGCGGGCGTCGATCGTCTTGAAGCTGTTCATGATCAGCTCCTGCTTCAGGGTGATCACCATGTCGCGCTTGAACACGATCCAGAGCGGCCGGTCCTGGATCACGGCGTGCCGGAGGGTCCCCGGCCGGGGGTTGACCGCGTCGTAGTCGTTGGGGTCGGTGACCACGTAGAAACGGCCGTCCCTTCCGCCGACGGCGTTGCGGCCGAAGCCGATCGAGCAGTCGGCGAGGCGGCGGCGGTTGCGGATCCAGTTCCGGTCGCACCGCCAGCAGTCGTCGATTGGGTTCCCGGTGCCGCATGAGAAGAACCCTAGCTTTCTTCTCTCGGTGCTGTTACGTATAGCCCTGGGGTTTTTTTTATTTATTAAAACACATTATTAAAATTGATTTACAAACAGTAAATTTGAAATTCTGAAGTAAATATTCATTATTACTTATCTTTCGGGAAACAAAAACATTTAGAGTATTCATACCAAAAAAAATAAAATAAAAATTCGTAAATTAGTATTTCTAAAAAAATTGTAATGATAAAACTTGATGCTTTAGTCAATAAATAGTTTTGATCTGAAGGTGGAATTCGCAATTTCATTTTTTATTCAACTAAAATATACCACCATACATATTAATTAAAATAGAAGTGTAATTTAAAAAAAATAATCATAATTTTCGAAAAAATATTATATGCGATTAAATCTCATATGTGTTCCAATTTCAATCCAAAAAAATCGAAAATCAAAACTATCAAAATATCGGAATGAAAAATATTATTCCAAAATCTGAAAATTTCGAATTAAATTCGACATAGTTAGTTAGAAAAGGCATCCAAATAAAAAGTCTAGGGCTCTACAAAGATGCCTTAATTTCACAGTCCATTGGCCAAAAAAATAATTAAGCGAAGCAGGATTAATTTTTATTTATTTACTTATTTTGTGTGTACATTTTCGAACTAAAAAAAGAAAAAGAACAAAAATATTAATTGTTTTCAAAAAAAAATACCTATTATTATAGAGTGCACAGTTACTAGTACTCTGAGTTCAGAAATAAGCTTAGCAACAAATATAATACACACAAGATAAAACGTCGAACCCAAACCAAAAGTAGTACTAAGTACAAATAGTATGTAACAAATTTAATATGAGGATAACAATAATAATAGCATAGGCCAATAATAGTATAATACGGTCCATACGGAAAGTGCATCATATGAGATTGTTGGTATATATTAATTAATAATGTACAGTAGTTGGAACTAAATTCATTCAATGCTCTCTCTATTAAATTCTCTAAGCCGTCGGTGGAGGTGCAATTTTCCGCCAAATTAGATTCTATACCTGCCTATTCACACTGTGTTAATTAAATAATCATCCACTGAATACACACAGACACATTAGTGTATGTGATTATGTGTAGATCTACGATTGAAATGTACGTAGTGTAAATAACGGAATGTAGCATCTAATTATCGAACAAATTGTTTCATCGCTAGTAGACATTAGTCATGCTCTTCATTTATTAGGCAACAATTTTGTCTTGACAATTTCACTAAAATCCAGCCCCCATTGGATCTGCCAAAACTTGCTAGATCTAGTCTTTTTTCTCTCTTCACCCCTTGTGCCTTACTGCCAATCCAGCCTGGCCGGATAAATTAAACTACCTCAAATAATTTTGTGGCCTACCCTCATTTAATTCATGCAATTAATTAATTTTTATTTACTTATTGCTCAATTAATTGTCTACAACATTGTTTGCTATATAGTGAGATGATGCACAAATAATATAGTATGATGCAAAATGAAACGAATCCACAATGGAACAAACAAAGCAGTACATGGATCTAAAAACAAGTGCACGTGCTTAAGGCAAAAACAAGAAAATCAGTAATGAATTATCAGCCATTTGATTATTAACATGCACTGTATTAATCATGAAATAAATAAAAATTTGATATAATTGAGAAAACATGATTTGTGCAGCATCAATAAATACAAGGAATTATATATATAAAAGAAGCGCCCGTGAAGGGTCTTTTCCATGAAGCATGTGCATATTCCACAAGACATTAGACAGTTTCATGTGATGTAGAAACAGAATACAGTAGATACATTAAATTCATAATAATTATTTTATAAAAAAAAATTATAATATAAAATATATATAGCATGGGATGCGAAATTACAGAAAGAGACATATGAGAATTAGCTGAAAACAGAATGGTGATCGAGTAAAGTAGGAATAATATTAGATTCCGGGTAGTTGGGGGAATGCCCAGGCATTAACACCGTTTCAGCGAGGGATGATGATGTACGGTCGTTGAGATGCCACACCCGGTGCAATATACCGGGTGATCAAAAATCACCCTGCGTATATATTTCATCGGGCGTAGCATCAAATAAATCACGACGTACGGATCATGTGAGGGGTGGTTAATTACCATTTTTTTTTCTTTTTCTTTTTATTTTTTACTAAGTGCGGTATGGTTATTAATTGGAAACACATGATTTATTGGGAAGTTAATAAATATGTTTTAATTAATTAGTTAATTAAATGAGATTAGGAACTTACATGTTAACCATGGTAGCGATAGCTTCTGGATCATCTACAGCGTGTGGATTATCAAATTCCTCTAACCTGTAAAATTCGACCAATGAATTAATTAAACTACTTTTTCAGTTAAATTATGTTTAATTACGTACTGAACCTCATTTTCTTAATCTATATTAATTATAGTATTACTACTGTTAGTTTTCTGTATTTTAATTAGAGTATTATCTAACAAATTGGTGCTCGAAACTCGAAGCAGCAGCAGCAGCAGCAGCTATTAAAATAGAGCAAGGACAATTTGGAAAATACCTTTTGTTGCCTTCCTTGTGGAATGCAACAATAATAATTAAAAAAAAAATAAGACGGGAATTTAGGAGATTCTGTAGGGGTAAATTAGTCAAACAAAAGATAATTGTCATGCGAATTGAATTGAGCAGGTGGGCAGCTATAACAGAATTAACGATCGAGATTTTTCCAGATCCAATCAAGCATATCATCAGACGGCGGTGAATGCATGTGAATTATTTATTTACGGTGTGGATCAATTCTGATCATAGCGTAACAAACAGAGAGGGCGAGAGAGAGAGAGAGAGATACTGCAACAGAAGCAAGTGCAGGTAGAAAACAAACCTTTCCGCCATTGTTGAGTTTCTCAAGTTTCTCAAGCTCTTCCGCTGCCTAATTTCTTCAGTTCTGTTATAAAAAAAAAACACAGTAAAAGCCGTAAATTGTAAGATCTTCCTCCCTAATCAGCACGGTAAACACAATTTCAGAGTTAATTTAACAGAAAATTACAAATTAGTTTCTAAAATCACCAAATTAAAGTACTTTTTCCGCAAACAGATCAAAATGACACTAAATTACCTTTCACTCAGCGCAATTGCGTTGAAAAACAGCAGCGCGGTAAGAAACGCACAGAGAGGGATGATTCTCAGAGAAATCGCCATTGATGAACTAAGCTGCTTAGTTGATTTCTTCTCTCTCTAAACAGAGTTTCTCTCTCTAAGAAAAAAAAATGAATGTATGTATATAAAATGTGTATATATATATGGATGAGAGCAGATAGCGAAGGGAAACAACGAGTGTGAATGGAAGGAAAGGCGGAGTGCGGGAGTCCTTTTATAAGAAAAGGGAATGAAGAGGAAAGATGAGAGCGCGCGACGTACAAAATTGATGTGATCCGTACTAATTAAGTTGTGTCAACTCAATTAATCACCCCTATTTGCGGGACTTAATATCAACTTATATTATTTTTTTATTTTTTTAAATGATAAAAGATACTCCCTCCGTTCCTAAATAGATATCGTTTTTCACCTTGGCACAAATCTTAAGAATCTCAATAAATATGTCTTGATTTTAGGAAAATAGATATTGATGGACCAAAATACCCTTGTTTATTAATTAATGCATGAAGAGTGGTATAGAGTTAATAAGGGTAAAATTGAAAAATAAGCAATTAATGCAGCATTGGAATTGTAAAGTGACAGATAATATGGAACAAAAAAAATTCTCAAAAAAGACAGATATTATGGAACAGAGGGAGTATTATTTTATTGTAGTCAGATTTTTTTCTCTCAATTATCACTTCTATATTAAAATAAATGTCACTTTGACCATATTTTGTTAAATTTATTTTTTTTTTTACCAATTTTGCTCTATAGTATGTATTGATTGTTCAAACTCATTAATTTGTACCCCCAATTTGTCTTTCTTTAGGGGGTAATTTAGGGTTTTCCATTAAAAAGAGGCTATTTATTAGGTTTTTTCAAGGTTGTAAAAATCGGTAATCGGGTCCGAGTCGGTTAGGGACCGACTCACGATTAATCGGTGCGGCGGTAATTAATCGGTGATAAATCGAAAATAAATCGGTTTTTAAAATTTAATATAATATATTTGTAGATATTATTTATAAATACTCAAAACATAGATAAAAAATATTTAAACATAGTTATATCTCGATCATGTATATATTCTAATAACATAATAAAAGTTTAATAATAATAAGATCATAATACATAAATATCCTTATAAAATATAAATAAAAAGGCAATTTTTTTTAATTTACATACATTCTTGGCATACATCATTAGTTCTTTAACAATAATAATTAACATAAACAAAATAAAGCATAATTCATTTTTTTTTATTTAATCCCACTTTATT